TCCTGCAGTGCCAATGTGTATACACCCTTGAGGGTTTAAAAATGACTGCTAGGGCTCTTTAACTAAAGCTCATCAAATGAGCTTTAATTAAAGCATCTCACAGCCATTTTTAAACACAAGGGGGGGTTAATACACATGATGCTGCAGTGTTTTAATTAGAGCAGCTCTCCAGGAACCAATCGAATTAAAACACCCGACCCACCCCCGAGCACATGTATAGGTACTCTTTTTTCCCTAGCAGTAGTGACAGCCTGATTTGTCATTTGGCCACAGCATTGAGGTACTACACTTTTTTAGCTGTCCAGTGTTCTAATAAGTCATTTGTATTGTAAACCATGTGCGCTCTATAGTGGGGGGCACTGTCTTTGGTTCAATGAATAGAAGAAAAAAATGATACGATAAGAGAAGCAGTACAGCTTGGGAGAGAGGTTTCAGTATAACAAGAAAAGAGAAATAAAACATAAGAAAAAATAATATACAAAGAGAGGGGGAAAAAAGAAGGGATGGAAACTTAATTGATAATACTAGAAAACAAAAGAAAAAGAAGATATGAGAACAGCAAAACAGATGTAGTAAGCAGGATTAGTCAAACAGTATTGACAAAATACATTACTTAATTTTTGTCAATATAGATTACGTTTATTCAATGGTACATATTAGTTAATACTGATGAAATACATCACATATATTCAAAAATATTTTCTGCTATACAAGCTTATCAGTTAAATAAAAGTGAGTTGATAATACAATTATAAATAGTAAATAATAAGTTTTATTCCTTCAGAATTGCAAGGGCAGTAGCAAAGTTTTTCCATACTTGTTAGTAAATTGGATTACAGAATTTAGGTAAAACTTTCTAGCCCTATTTTTCAGGGCCCAGTATAGCTGTTTAGTATTGTGACCTTCACATATCATTTAAGGGCCCATGATAATGTTAAAACTTTTATAATTACCTGGCCTCTGATGTCTATGTCAGCATATTTATGGAGTAGGGCCCTCACAATTTCAACATGACCGCCTCTCACAGCACCAATCAGCACAGTGTCTCCACTCTGGAAGTAAAATATATAAATGCATAGAAGCTAGGAGTTAATTTTCACTTATTAAAATTAAAACCATCGTCTACTTATATACCATGCTGTTTGTATGTATACACAAATATACATATAAATACACACACACACACACACACTTGGTTACTATATATATTAAAAGCAATATATTTAGAAGATCCCTCCCCCTCTCCCCCTTTCTCCCTCCCCCTTCCTTCCCATATTACACACACACACACACACACACACACACACACACACACACACACACACACACACAGTCTTTGGGCGCCTATATCTATATAGATATAGATAGTAACCAGTAACCAAATAGTGTATGTGTAGCATTATGAACAGTTTACTCCAGTTCACTGTCATCACTTTATTTTGGTGATGTAGTAAACAAAGCTGTTTGCATCCATTTTTCCCCAACTGTATCTACAGAGAAGAGGTCATTTAAAATGAAGCAAATATGTGGGAAAAGATGTAAGCAAAAATGTAGGCTAAGAGTATAACTTAAAAGGACTACATCCAACAAAATGTATGCAACCACAGAAAGAACCAAGCAAAAATAAATATGCAAAAACTGAAATAGTAGAGCCAGCTGTGCAGAACAAATCTATTAATGGTATTTTCTATGAATGGTTCAAAAGGTTAATAAAGCTCTCTCATTGCAGATTAGTGTTTTCTTTCCTTTTAATAAGTAACGCCCACACAGGGCTGATTCTGATTTCAGTTATTCCAACTAAATCAGGATTACTTCTATAAGCAGGTAAAGGTGCAACGGGATCTAACACTAGATCCACACAATCATGCCTCCTGCCATGAGCTGCAATTGTGGGATCGCACATTAGATCCCATCACATCTTATTGCCAGTGCCAAAGGGAGCCTGGGATCACAATCTTAGGCTCCCCCTGCATCGGCTCCCACAGCTGACGGGGAATACTGCCCCCACTGAGAGCATTCTCAGCCGCAAGACTTATACTGAGCACTATGGGGTTCGCAGCAGGGGCAACGGGGAAAATAGCCCAACAGTTGCATTCCCTGTGCCATAAGCCCTACACCAACAATGCTTGCAGAGGTGGTATTCTCTCCACTGCAAGATCTGCAGCTGACAAGGCTCACAGTGAGGACAATGCCAGGAATGCTGCTGCCATTGCAAGCCTTGTCAGCTGTGGGACTAGCAGTGGCTGCAGCATGGAATGAAGAGCACCTGTTGGGATTGGGGAATAGATCCCAATCCTGCCATCATGATCCTGGGATGCCTCTGCACTGAAAGGTCAGGTACCTGAAAATCGGTGATCATCAGCTGGCTCCGAGAACCCAGTAGCCAGTTTGAGCCCCCACGTGGTCCCCGGAGCTGGCCAATAATAAGCTGATGGTCAGCAGATCTGAACCTACCCAGGGCTTGAGCCTTGGGGCTGTCCATGCTAGCTGATGTTCAGCTGATCAGGATGGTCCTCAGGCTCAAAACCCGAACTCTCTTGGTATGCCATCAGCTGGCAGGGACTGCCTAAGGCTCAAGCCTGGAGCAGTCCCTGCCAGCCAACTATCAGCTGATTAGGACCGCTCTAGGGTGGTCTCAGCCATGTTTGATTTAACGCATGACAGAAACCAGCTATAAAATTATTATATAAAATATGGTACTGTATGCATTTTGTGCAGTAACTTTGTAGCTGGTTTCCTGTTTTATTGCACCATTAACCCCTAGAACAAGTGGCCAGTTTACACTTTAAGACATAATTAACTGTTTAATCACATAGTAAATATAATATCTGCCAGGGGCCAATGGGCACAGAGAAAATAAATGTGATCAATAAAGTAAAAGTTAAATTAATCACTTGTTTAAGGCAAAGAAGGCTCTGCATTTCACCAAGTTTCCCCTCATAGAAGAAAGTCTCGACTTAAGTGTAAGGATTTAATGAACAGTTGTAAGTATTTAAATAAGAAGTACTCATGTTTGCTATGCACAATTTTAAAATCCCCCTCCATGTGGTAACCTGGCTTAACCTGCCAGCACTGGATATATTAAAACAATATTGTACCTTGTTGGGGACTTCCTTTTTGTGGGAGGATACTGCCAGTGACTAGACTAATCAAGAGTCTAATAACTTAAGAAATCATTTTTTGAACGTAATTGTATCCGACAAACAGGGAGACCCAATCAGAAGGTTTAAGAAATCAATTTATGTTGTACCCCCAAAAGTTAGGCATTTATCAGTGAGCAGAATAACTGATATTTTAGTATTTAACAAAAAAAAAAAAAAACTTAATTTTTAATAGAACAAGTTAATCTTTAACTCATCTTGTCAAGCTCCAAGACATCCCAACTTATAAACACAGGATTCTGGTTACTATTTTTTCTACTGGAGTTTTTCTAGCTAAATTCCAACATGACTTAATCTTCGGCTACAACAAGAACCACTAGAAAAGTGGATTGGTAGCAAGACAACTTCCCTGTTGTAAGTTACTCATAATCTTTACCTGAACTTCAGATTGATTCCAAGCATCTTAACTGAGCTGCATGTTGGAATGGTTTTACAGACTTCTTAACTGTTTCTCTGCCATTTACAGTAACTGGAGATTGTTTATAGTTAACTGGAGGTTGCATCTACTTTGATTGCTTAGTTTGAGCCTTGAGTTCACAAGTCACCCAGCATAGCAGTTAAATTAGGCCTTATCTGCATTCAAGAGCATTATATATAAACTAGCCAATTGCCCATCAAGAATGATCGGGGGCGGGGACAGAGTACTGCCACCCACAACCCATGTCACCACCTCCTGGTGGGGGGGAAAGCTTGCCCACCTGTGCCCTCCGTCCCTCTCTGCTATCACCCCTGGGGAACTCCCTTCTCGTCAGTGCAGAGGCAGAAAAGGATCTTGGAATCATTATTGATGCCAAAATGCACATGGGCCGGCAGTGTGGGGATGCAGTCAGGAAGGCCAACCACACCTTGTCATGCATCCACAGATGCATTTCAAGCAGGTCCAAGGATGTGATCTTCCCCCTCTACACGACACTGGTCAGGCCGCAGTTGGAGTACTGCATCCAGTTCTGGGCACTGCACTTCAGGAGGGATGTGGACAACATGGAGAGGGTCCAGAGGAGGGCCACTCGCATGATCAAGGGGCAGCACGGCAGGCCCTATGAGGAGAGGCTATGGGACCTGAACCTGTTCAGCCTCCACAAGAGAAGGCGGAGGGGGGATCTAGTGGCCGTTTACAAACTAGTCAGAGGGGACCAGCAGGCACTGGGGGAGTCCCTGTTCCCCCGAGCACTATCAGGAGTGACTAGAAATAATGGTCACAAGCTGGCAGAGGGTAGATTCAGACTAGAAATCGAGAGGGTAGATTCAGACTAGAAATCGGGAGGCGCTACTTCACTGTCGGGGCTGCTAGGATCTGGAACCAACTTCCAAGAGAAGTGGTGCTGGCTCCCACCCTGGGGATCTTTAAGAGAAAGGTAGATGAACACTTTGCTGGGGTCATTTGATCCCAGTACTCTTTCCTGCCATGGCAGGGGGTCGGACTTGATGATCTGCTCAGGTCCCTTCCGACCCTACCAACTATGAAACTATGTACTCATTTTACCAACACCCTTTTATATGTAGCCCATGTACTTTGTTCCAGAGCTAGAAAACCATGCTTATGGATAAGGTTTATTTCCAACCTTTTTCAGGCTTGTGAGGTATCAGCTGCCAAATTTCTATCACTATCAAAAATGAGAAAAGGCTAGCCAGCATTCCAGAGAGTGGTGGTAGAAACAACTTAGAAGCTACTATAATGCTTTCAGGACCAGTATTTTTTCCCCCCAAGGTACTTGCCCTGAAAACTGATAAACTGATCAGGGTTTTTTTGTGTTTTGTTTTGTTTTTTTGGAGGGGGGGTTGGGGGGGGAGGGTGTATTAATCTGCTTTTAAATCAAAAGGAAAAAAAAAAAAAAAAAAAGACATTTTAGATGCAGAAAGGAGAGAAGAAAAGTGACTAATCTGGACACAGAACTTATTTCAATAACATAAAGGACAGAAGGGATCATTGCAAGGTCAATTTGACCTGTGTAATATAAATATACAACTTATACAATAATTACTGCAATTAATATTTCAAATCTAAATAGATGTAAAGTTATATGCTCAAATACACATTTGTAATAGCTATCGCTTATGCTCTGTATTTTCAAACTTCTGTCAAAAGTATTAACAAATTTGCATAGTCATTAAATACTGTCCTCTTGTCACTGATATGAAGAGAGACACAAATATAAGTGAATTAGCAACAGGACTAGAATTAGTACTCAGGGAATAATAAAATATAGAATAAAAATCAAACAAAATATCAGCTCCTTGGCAACCTTTTGTAATCTTATACAATGCCAGAAGGACCTTCTTTGGCTTTGTTTTTTCTTATAGCATGCTGGGAAACAAAAAAAATGAATTTATTTAAAAATCATAAACAGATCTATCACCTGGGACAAAAAACTAAAAACAAGGAAAAACATATTATATGTGAATTTATACACACTGGTGTACACTACATGGTAATTCAGAGTCAGAACGCATCATGCACACATCTAGCATCATAGCTACCAGCGGAGCACATACTAACCCTATCAGGAATGTTCACATAAGTTCCAGCATCAAGGAGATCCTGCACAATTTCTGTGTGACCCTCCTTCGATGCAATCATCAAAGCTGTATTTCCATCTTTATCGGTTAAATTCACATTTGGGTTCCTCTTCAGAATTTCCTTTACGGAGTCAGTGTAACCACCTTTTACTGCTACAATAAGTGCAGTCATAGAGTTCTAGAAAAAAAAAGGGACAGACAGACCAAAATTACTATACACTAGATAGAAAATTAGCTTTTTTTGTTGTCGTCAATAGTTCACTTGGTTTAATTTTTACAATAGAAACTGCAGTCAGTTTATGTTGTAAACAACATAGGCACAGTTTAAGATGGAAAAAATAGTTACTTACAGCCCCTTCTTGGTCAACATCAGCTCCCATCTGCAACAGGTACTTTACACATTCCAAATGACCCTTCCTTGCAGCCCAAATCAATGGTGTGGTTCCATACTGCAAACAAAAATTAACTAATTAAAATTAAGCTAATTAACATTAACTATCAACTGTTTCAAAGAAGTTAATATATGCAAGCTAGGTATTTTGGACCACCTTGTATTTTATCACTGTTGTTTCCCTCTGACCTTTTTTTTTTTCCCCCTTTCCCCCTGCTCTCTCCCCTCTCCCACTTTACCTTTTGTCTTGCTTATCTCTCTACTCATTTACATTTTCACAGACATCCTACCACACTTTTAGCTTCTCTCATTCTTTGAAGTCCCAGACCAGCAGAGACTCCCTATGCCTGATGAACGGTGACTGCACCCAAAGCTTGCTATGAACTTTTTCCCCCAACTACTCAGTTGGTCTAATAAAAGATAGCACATCTAACCAAAGAACCTTGCCTGTCTGAATCTCGATTAGTCACCTTTGGCTCTCCCCCCACCTCATTTTTACTCCCTCCCTTCCCTACTCTACCTTTTATTTTCCTAATTTCCACCTATTTACATTCTCACTGACATCCATCCTGTCACACTTTTAGCTTCTTTCATTCCTTGGAGTCTCATAACAGCAGGGACCTCCTATGCCTGAAGAAGGGTGATTGCGCCCGAAAGCATGTAAAGAATATTTTTCCAACTACTCAGTTGTTCAAATAAAAGATATCACATCTACCCAAAGAACCAGCTAAGCAAATACATTTTTAGTGCATAGAGTACCTAGTACATGTAGCAACAGTCATGCTAATACACAGCATAGATCAGTAAACCATCATCTCTTTCCAATGCTACTGGTAAGTGGGCTAACTAGATTAAAGCTGATACATGCAGGTTTACTCCACGTATAATCACACCTTATCTTGAACAAAAGCCATATTCTAACACTAGTTTAGCACGTTACCTACTGGCTCAGATGAGAGAGAGCACGCAACCAAGTGAGGCTCATCTAAGCACAAAAGTTTAACAGTCCTTATGCTCATTCAAAACGTTGGGCCCTCTTTGAGACTGCCAATGGGGTGTTCACATGAGATAGAAACTGAACCAAATACACAACAACCTTTCTGTATCCTCCCCAAACCGCCATCAGCTGGTAATAATATTTGACTGTGATGGTACATCCACACCAACATGTCTCCAGTGATCCCAACAAAGCATGACCTCGACTACCCACTCCTACTTACATGTACCAAGCCCTGAAATGCAGCAGAAAGGCCACTTCATGCCAATCCCCCTCCTGCTTTTAAGCATGCCAGAGAGAGCTCTTGAACGCTGTTACAAGGGGCACAACCCAAAGCAGTTTCACAGCTGCATTTCTGGATTTGGCACATCCAAGCAGATCCTCCCCTCAGAGTGCCCAGGATACAGCACAGGTATACCATGAACAACCTGTTCTGAATACAAACAGTTCAAATAAATATGAAAAAATGTCAAGTTATTTTATTTACCATCAATACATTACAAGAAGTAACTGTAGTTGGCAACCAGGGTTTTTGGGTTTTTTTGGTAAACTAAGAAAACTTATCCATGTTTTCACACAAGACCTTTGTTGCTTTATAAACCTGGTGTTCAGCGATCTGTGACAGGTACCTAGTAGTTAGAGAACATTAAGGTAAAGAACTGCTGAAAATATAGCTTTCACCCGATTGTCTGGTATATGATTTGTAAAGCCGCAAGACCCTAAACTGAGAAAAGCAACTAAACATTCAACTTTCCATCATGTGAACAGTACAACTGACTTCAAGAAGACTATACTAACACTAAAAATGAAATGTGCTTACAGGCTTTAATGGATCAGAAATTAAATGGTTTCCAACTCACCTATGTGAGAAATCACCTCTTTTCTCAAGGAACATTTCCTAAGCTTAACATAACAGGAACCATAAACTGTCACCTTGCTTTACAAAGACTTTTTGAGAAATACTTGACAAGTTAAGTTCCCCTCCTACTCAGAGTGAAGAATATAAATGTCAGGGAATGCTTCAATAGGCATCTATTTTATCAATCCTTTCAAGAAGTCTGTTAAGTAGTATGGCTTGCACAGGGAGAAAAAAATATTTTCAGCTTACATGGGAGAAGCATGTTGTAAAAAGTAGCTAGCCCTCCTTGTTGATTGTTATTGAATCATTTACATTATGTTGTGCCCCACTCTGTCTCTAAATAACTCAAGCCTTTCAAATAGCTGGCTAATCCATCCATTTAAGTTATTTCACAATGTTATCTTTATTCGCTATTTAGACATTTCTCTTTAGTGATAAAAGCAATAAAATGGAAACAGCTTCATTCCCTCTCCTGTCAGCAGCACATGAACATATACAAATCTGAATTATTTTGGGAGATGCAGAGAAGATCAGATTGAACATTATGCTCATTTATTTAATCAGAGGGTGTGTTTTCATATCATCTCACAAGGCATTTGTTTTGGTACAGTGATCAACTAATCTATTACAGAGTTAGACTTCACAAGAGAAAACAGCCACATTTAAAATGCTTATGATTTTAACTCCTTTTATTATAATCATAGATTTCTGTATGCTGGATTTAGATGTCAAGGCATTTTATGTTGTACCACTCCTGAACAATTTAAGATATCTATAGAGAATGCTTTAGGTAATCAATGTTCATCACCACATTAAACATTATCTTTAGTACATTACCAACCGTGAACGGCATAATATGAAACAAGAAAATATACAAAGGCTCCTTCATCTATGGCAGACTGATTTTAACCTCATAGGAAAAAAAAATTACTTCAAACTAAAAACTTATCCTAAAATATAACCAGAATATATTTTAATGAATTATGAAACTCTTGAATAAATTATATTTTACCAGAAAGCAATTCTGGATATTGTATTCCAAATATTTTCCTAAACCCTTGGTACTCAAAAAAACCCATATCTAACATATTAAATTAATATACTAACTAAATAAGCATATCTTACTTTGTCAGAGCAGTTCACTTTAGCCCCATGTTGCAGTAAGAGTCGTACTATATCTGAGTGACCTCGTCCTGCTGCCCAAATGACAGGATAAACACTGTATTGCTTATATGAAAAAAAATACAAGAAAAAGCAAGCCATGTGAAATGAAAACATTAATTGATAACTCTACTTTTTATCTGCATATTAAGAAAATATCTGTCAAAATATTTCAGACTTGAGAAAACATGAAAGGAAAAGGGCACAAAATTAAACGCACAGGCTATATTTCAATAACTGTCAACAATGAAATAGTTTAACAGGTGTTGGGAAGTTATTTGGTCACAACTAATCTTTACAAACATTTAAATGGTCACATTAGGATACTGCACTATTAATTTGGACTCAGTTGTAATACAGAAAAGCAACCAAAAAACAAACAAACCACCCAACCAACCAAAAAAAAAACCACCCGACAAACATATTAATGGATTTATTTAAGATTCTTGGTGACTACAATTCCATAATAATACCTACACATACAGAAGACAAAACAGATCTCAAGTAGGTAACATTGTAATTATTCTTCAACTATGTGCATGTGCCATACAATTATATAACCCAGACAATTTGATAATTATTTTTTCTATAAAACAAGAGATTAATTGAATAAACATTTACATAATACATTACAGATGAAGTCCTTAAAATTTAATTAATTAATTAATTAACAAACTTCCACATGGCTTACTACACACAATAATTACTGAAACATTCTTAACATCTTCCTGGTGGTGATAACCTTATCAAAGATCTATAAAGATCAATGGATTTAATTAAAAATAGTGGCTGACATATTCTTAAAAACAGCCACTTTATTCCTACAAGATTCAGTGTATAAGACTCATTTTCTAGCAAAATACTACTGCATAATTCAAGTTTTTGTGCATCCCACCACTTTCCCCGGATTAGGCCTTACCAGCCCCGTGATGTTTGGATTTGATCCCTTCTCAAGAAGAAGCTCAGCTACTTCAGTACGACCTTTATAGGATGCCCACATTAAAGCTGTCCATCCTCCCTGGAGAATACAGTACAGAAAAACAGTAAACACTGAAAAAATATTATTTATTTAAATTCATACCTATTAATTTCCTTTAATTGTATAACTGTACTGGGACTAACAAACAGTAGCGATCTATGATCCTGTCTTGTGATCTTAATAATCAAATATGTAAAGCTAGCCAAAGTTTTGCTGCAGAGTGCAAAGAGAAAAAAAATTCTCCTAAATTGTTTTACGAAATTTGCAAACAAAAATTCAGATCTCAAACAAAAGCAGCACCTTTTCATTATGGATCACAAAAGTAGGGGAAACCACTACGTATTTTACAGTTGGCTCGCTAAAAAAAACAGTCACTGTGAAACTACTGATAAAGTCAAATGAACTGCTGTAAAACCCTAAACAGATTTCAGCAGTGTGTATGTGCCCTGGATGCGTACAGTTCTGTAAGGAAAAAAAATACAGCTGTTACAGTCCAGAGCACTTACATTAGCAACAAAAAAGTAATTTTTACTGTAACTACCATTCCTAGCAAAATCAAAACCTAAAACATACAAACAAGGTAAGTGTTGCTTCTTTAGAGCAGAACTGTAAAAAACGATTAAACAAGATTCTACAGTTTGAAACACTGACCATGCAATAAATTATCTTCATTGTTTCACACAGTTTAAAGTTAACAAGTCCATACATGCCTCCTATTAAAAAACAACTATTCCATTTTAGAATGAGAAAGACACAAACCATATCCCGGTGCTCCAAATTAACATTACAGTTAAGCAGTTCTGCTACAATATCTACATGTCCTTCCTTGGATGCCGAAATAAGAGCTGTCCAGTTATCCTACAAAAAACAGTTAAAAGATGTAAAATGTTTGAAATATCCTTAACAGCACTTCCAAAAGACAGAGTGTGAAAGATTTATGTACCAGGTAACTATCCCAGTGCCCAGCTGCCATGCAGTGGTTCACTTAGGACTATGAAGTATCTTTCTTAGTAAAAACCACAAATGAATTAAATATTCAACTCATAACACTTGATCTAAAATTGTCTCTGTTATGTTCAATGTCACACTGTGCCATATTTATAAATGTGAAACCGTTTTTGCAAACAGATGATTTCAACATCCTGATAAATTAACCAAGGGGTTAAAAAATGGCTTAAACTAACATTTACCGAAATTTAACAGACAAAACTAACTAAAATACTTGTTTTTATTACTCTCTCACAAGTTTACACTTAGCTTTGCCAAAACTGCAGCATGGAAATTATTTCGTTCTGTGTAGTTAAAAACCAACATCTTTCTAATGATAGTTATTTTCTAACCCCTTCATTTCAGTACAGCTTTTACCACTGAAAACATTTTTCACCTTCTTCTGTGCCAGCACTTTTCTAACTCATTTCTCCCTCTTGACTACAATTTTTATTCTCTTTCATCATTTGCTCAAAGGGGTAGCATATCAACTGTTTTCAATTATGGGTCTCAGAAGTTTCTCACAAGGAGAAGAAACCAGAAATACAACTCATCCATCAAATGATTCTTCTCCGGTTCTGAGCTGTATTGGAATTCTCCTCCTATATGTGTGCTTGTAACAGCATAACATTTAATAATCCTGCCCAAGAATGGCCAGATACTGTATTTAACTTGATTTTTAGACAAGGTTTTTCCCATTTAACATGGGAGGGAAAAGCTCCTTGTCTTGGAAGGGATAAGCAGGGGGGCGGGAAGAGGAAGATGGGCGGCAAGGAACAAACTGCCAGCCCCATTACTGGCAGCCCCACCTGACCCACTACCACTGCTTTCCCCACTGCAGTGGCAGGGATGAATTTAAGACGATCCTTAAATAATTAGATTCTATACACGGAAAACTAGAAATACAGTACATAACTGCCTTGGCTCCAGCTCCAATTCCATAATTCATCTACCTCTTCTTTTTTCAGCTTACCTGTTGCAACTCACATCTCCATATCCCCTGAAATCTTATTTCTTCAGAACAAACAGTTGTCCGTCTGTGTAGCTTTTTACATATTTAAAGTAGAATTAATGAGAGGAGTGATGCAGTTAAAGCTAGGTAGTTACCTATTCATTTCAGAATTAAATTCCAAATCTTTCTATTCTTGCTTTTGAAACCCTCTTCTAATCTGTTTCTTTCAATACTCAAGTCCTCTGTTTTAGGGCTGTAAATAACAATTAAGTAGAGGCAACCCCCGCTTAGTGCTCTTAACTGGTTCCTGAAAAACTGAGCGTGAAGCGAAATGAGCATTAAACAAAACCGAAAGTATGCGACTACCCAAGATGGCGACCGCAATTATTTTTAATGACCCAAGATGGCGACCGTGAGCAGTCTAACAAAACTCACTGACCGCTAAGTGAAATCAGGTATCAATTTAAAATGAGCATTATAGCAAAATAGTGCTAAACGAAACAGCGTTAAGCGGGGGTTGCCTGTATCTGCTTAAACTCCTCTAATGTTATCAGTTAAACGATTAACCAATAACACACATCTACCAGGAACTGCCCCCCTCCATTTCACTTGTTCTCCAGGCGGCTGCAGTGGACTAGGAAAGCCCTCACCTGCTGCTGCTGGTTATGACTTCATGGGGCTCTGGAGGGGCTCACTGCTGCTCCTTGCAGCAGGCCCCAGCCCCAAGGCAGTTGTGCATCAGTGGCATCAGTGGGCTGGAAAAGACGTTTCTTTGCTTCTGCCACCAGCGTGCAGCTGCCCAGCATTGGCTGCAGATAGCAGCACTGAGCCCCAGCACAGACTATCAAACCACAAGGGGCAGCAGCAGGGTGGGAAAGCCCAGTACCCACTGCTGCTGCTGGCACATGGCTACCTGGGGGATAAAGCAGCAAGCAGCTGCACCAGGGCCTGTGAGGCCCTGTCCTGGCTCATTTCCAGCAGCAGTTGCATGCCTCATGGCGAAGGAACTGCAAGAGGCCCAATACTTTCTTATGGCAGAGCAGCCCTGGCCCTTTCCCCACCATTCATCCCAAGGCACGTGTGCATCTGCCACTGCTAACGAGCTGGGCCAGGGGGCTCCACAGACCCCAATGCAGCTGCTCGCAGCCTCCCCATTGCAAGGAGCCCAGGCTCAGTGGTAGGTGGCAGGAGCTGCCTAGATCCTGGACTGACCGTAACAGGCTGCTGGGAGGCTGCTGCACTGGGGTATGCAGAGCCCCAACCTGACTCATTGCTGATGGCAGGTGCATATGCACCTTGGAGCGGACAGCAGGGAAGGGGTCAGAGCTGCACTGCCACAAAAAGGATTGGGACCCTCATAGCTCCTATACCGCACCTATGCCATACTAGGTAATAGCCCCCCTTCTCGTTCCTCCCTCCCTCCTGCCTGCCTAGGTACTAATCTCCCCTCCACCTCTCCCATCCTCCCTCCTTGCTGCCTGCCCACACCACTTCCCTCCCCCCGCCCCATATTACCAGTTATCAATATATGTGAACAGTTAAACGTTTATAAACATTTAATCGTTCACATCCCTACTCTGTTTATAAAACATTACTCTGAATCTTTTTGTTTCTTGTTACAGCTAGTAAAAGAGCTCCTCTGTAACTTCTACCATCTTGAATAAGTTTTTATCTCTACCTCAACCATTCTCCATCTTTTTCAAGCCATCTTAAGGTATGGATGAGGAGGATATATTAAGATTTCTTTCTTATTCTGATGGCATATCACTCTGTACCCTGTTCTTTCAGTAGGTAAGTAAAGCATTTTGGGATACAGCATGAAAGACATTACCCAATTCAAAATTACACTGGACCATTAAATACATAGACTTCCATGGCAGAATACATTTACAAATAGAAAGTAACCAACAGCTGCTGCAGCTGTATGCTATTACAACTGAGTGTAGAACAAGTAAAGAGAACATGCTTGTGGATCAATTACAGTGGCACACATTTACAATTTTACTTCAGAATGTATACATATCCAAGGTGTCTCTGAATTTAAAATGAGCCCCCAATAATTAGATTCTATACATGGAAAATTTATAACATTTCAATAATTTTACATGTAGAAAAATCTAATTATTGGCACCTGCCATTGCCCCGAATGCCCAATCACTTGTGCTACCCTGCTGCCTGCCCCTCTCCTGAGTGTTTACACCCTATGCTTACCCCCCCACCCCCCCCATTTTGCCTGCCCTATTGCTGCAAGAGCTGCCTGTGCCCCAGGCGTACTCACATCCAAGAGGAGGGGCTTCTGCCCCTCATGTTAAATGAGGGGAAAAAACCTTGCCTTGGATTCAAGTGAAGATAGACTGACCCAAGCTCAATCACAAAGTCATATAATTTAAGAGGACTGGTGCAGTGCAGACCTATATTATATTTCAGAGCCAGTGTCTCCAGTACAAAATATGGGATGAACTTGAAAAATAAAAAATTATGCTAATACTTACAGAGTCTTCCAAGTTGCAGTTAGCTCCCTTCTTAAGCAGCTCTTGGACAATTTCTAAATTGCCCTGCTCGGCAGCCAACATTAACGGAGTCTGACCATTCTGAAACCAAATTATAGTTCTAAGTATACTACTTAGACAACATATATAAAATGCACACGCACACCACCTGAAAAGTTCCAATATCTACAAAGAATGTCAAGCTCAGTTCACATAGTTTTAAGCTTTAAGTATCTGAGTAACACTAATAACATATTCAAACTACTTCTTTACACATGCAAAAAAAACTTTAGTGACAAGAAGAAAGGACAACATAACATTCAGTCTTGCCATTCACCAGTAACCAAACCGCAGCGTGCAGGCCAGATATATTGCTGCTACCCTTTACCCATGCTGCTGTTTGCTATTGCTACCAACTGCCACGAGCAGTGAATCCAGTGGTGAAAGAAGTGGCAGCTGCAATAAGGTGGGGGGGAGAGCAGGGAGGACTGGGATGGGAGCACACAGTAGGATCTGATGGGTCTACTGCAGTTACTTTGTTTGTGGATCTTCAGGAACGTGTAAAATGTTCTTGGGAGGGGAGAGCAGGGGATTAGTACAAACAGTTTTCCTGAGGCTGGTATTAAAAGGATTTGAGAATGTTTTCAATTGAAGAACAAATATTGTTGAGGGGTCCTCTGCAAGTTTTTTTCATTAACATTGCTGTCAGAGTTGTCTATTAGCCCCACTGGTCATAGTTAGGGATCTACCCAAATTCAGGAGGCAGGCAGCCAATTTCACAGGCAGACTGCTGGGCTGGCCAGCATTTTCACAGGCTTGTTGCGGCAGACCTCCTCCCCAAACCTCCAACTGATTATGGGGGTCTAGCGGCCCTGCCCCTTGCTGCTGATTGGCTGAGAGGGCTGTCCATCATGCAGTCCCTCACCGAGTTCCCCCACTGAGGATCCACCATTTTATTTTCAGTAATTTTTGGAGGGGAGGGGGGGGGGGGGGGGGGGGAAAGATACTGCAGACATTGCCTGATTTCACAATTTTCGCAAAATCCACAAAATCGTGAACCAAGTAAATTCCTACTCATAGATGTAGTCTTGACAGCTGAAGAGGAATATAGCTCCTCCTCTGTCTGCTCATTTGATTACTATTTTCTTATTGGATCATAGGTGACAGCATGGCTTTTCTCACTGAATGAGAAGCTACGGTGGTCATGGCTTTAGCTGAGACTATCACTGTTAGCTTTCTTCCGAAACCAGTCAGTGCAGTAGTGGTTCTGTCTGCCACGTGATGGCCTGTTCTTTTGGGGGTGGTTTGTTTTGTTACTGATCTTATCTGTTCTTGTGGAGTGTGGCTCTGTCCTGGTAGTGGAAGCATTCTTTCAGCTGAAATCTGCAGAAGAATTCTTCCAGTTCTCTACATATTACTGTCTAGTTGGTTTGTTTCTCAGGGCAGAAATTCAGGCCTTTTAAGAGTACAAATATTTTGGAGTGGAACAGGGGGAGTTATAATAAAGTTTAACAATGATGGTGTTCTGGGTGATGTTGATATTCCCTTCTGTGTTGCTGATATGCAGGGCTGTGAGGTGGCCCTTGTGACAGTGGATTCCTCTTTTGAATGGCCCTGCTCTTCCAAAATACCCTTTTCTACTTCATTTCTCTCTTTTTGCTATTCCTGAGAACCTCTTTGCTCCTATTTTGCAGCCTTCCTCCATTCCTTTAAGCAGATTGTTTGTTTTTATTTACTTAGCGAGTTTTACACTACTGCTCTACCGCTACTTTGCTCAAACTGTATCTGCTTCTTTCTGAGGAGGACCCAAGAAAAGTGCCTTGTGCCTGATAGTTTGACCAAGATCTCTTCCCTACTATATAGTTGGTCCAATAAAAGGTGAATCTCCCCTCCAAAAAAAAACCAAAACTTTCCCTCTTGCAGATTCCCTTAGCAATACACAGAGAATGTCCACTGTAGCCACCTACTATAAGAAAAATATAAACAATATATCAGAAAAGCCAAAATACTTAATTCTGACATGAGTAGCTTTAGTGAGGATTACTGTTTCTAAATAAATACTAACCTGCTGTTAACTGGTTAATTACGGAATATATTTTATCAATCCTTTATTCTGCTTTTAGCACAATGAAGGCTATGGTCATAATATTACAGTGGACTTAATTTATCTAGATAAGCAAAACTTTTGATACCACATCATAGGAAACTAGACAAGGATCAATGCTAAATCTGAATTGGAACATTTTCCAGGGCAGTGTGGCAAAGTACAATCCACAGTAGGGAAGCAGGTAGGGAAGCAGGCACCTTGAGCACCCATGCAGCACAATGGTAATCTGCTTATCTCTTCACACCTCACAGCACCCTTCAAAGGATCTTGTTCTTGTAGCACCCAAGAGTGCCATGACACCCTGGTTGACAATCACTGGGATAGAGTATCCTTGAGGTTTGAGGCATTATTCCTCATAGCTGTGGGTAAACAACTGAAGTGGCAATTTGGGGGATTCTTTCAGTTTATGACTGCTGGTAGACACAGGGAACTGGACTCAAGGGACCAAGGAAGCATCTTACAGTCTTATGTTCTTAACTATGGAAATATACTGATTTGTCCACAAGGGCATCCAAATCCATCAGGCACTTTCCTTGATTAATTATAATCAGATTTTTCCATAAAGAGATACTTCAAATAACCATAACTGTAAGGCATTTTGTAAAAGGGGGCATATCCTAGAGCAGGGGTGGGCAATAATTTCAGTGGGAGAGCCACTTAACAAATACTAATGAGCTGTCAAGGGCTGCACACGCAAAATCTTTTAAAAGATATCATTTTAACAAATTAAATAGATAAAGTCATATACCAAAAATCAAACATCTACAATAGCATATTTTAATTTTATTTTTAAAACTATTTTTTCCCCCCAATTTGTTTTTTGAGTAGCATACATAGAGGCGATTGCATAACAGCTAAGAATAGTCTTACTCAGGTATACTGTGGGGGAAAAGTACGTGTGGAAGGGATGTGTGCGTGCATGGGGTGGGGTGGGGGGGAGAAGGGTGGCCTAGGCACTACATTCCAGGAGCCATGTGCACTAGCCAGGGCCAGGGCCGGAAGGCGTGGGTGGGAGCACAGCTCTGGCTGCCCCAAATGTGGCTCAGCCCCATGCAGAGAGCCATGGGTGCAACTGTGGGCTGGATCCAATCAGTTGGAGGGTGCCCGCCATGGGGAGGCCAGATCTGTCCCACAGGCCATATTTTGCTCACCCCTGTTCTAGAGTTTAATACACAGCACAAGTTTTCCAGGAAAGTTTTTAGAATTGACGCTATAAAGTGCCAAGTAGGTTTATGGTACTATATAAATAATTTTTAAATAATGTTTTCATTATTTACTTATTAACTTTGTTTATTAGGCTTCCAGAGCTAAAAAACAATGTATTACACTATTTATGCTTGAATACAAACTTAAGTTATTAATCATACAATTAACATTCGAGGTGCACCGATAGAGATTTTTTGGACCGGTACCAATGGCCAATTTTTAATGAGCCATATTGGCAAATACTGAACTGATTGCCAACATGCAGCCGGGCAGCTTGGAGAGCAGCGTCCAGCTGGTAAGTCTCTTGTGGTGGCGGTGCTGGGAGGAGGGTTATGGGGGGCTGGGGGAGGCTGCAGCCATCCCAAAATTCACCATAGCCCCCCCTCCCAGTGCTGCCACCACCTGCCCCAAGTGCAGCTTGGCCCAGCACCCACCAGGAAGAACCCAGTGCTGCCCTAGCACCAGCCTACAGCAGCAGCACACCTTCGCTCCATGCACACATCTGGGGACACACGCCCCCCCATGCCCTCCTGGCGTATGTGCAGCAGCGGGAGCCACCACCAATTTTCCTTATATCACTGCTGATCCAATATGGGACCAATGTATTAGTGCAGCTCTAATTAACATGCAACAACATTTAAAGAAGCTGACAAACTCATCTCACCTCATTTCTCTCATCCACATCCTTACACTTTTCAAGAAGTGCTTTCAGAGCAGGAACATTCCCTTCTTCCACGTAAGTCAAGAGACTCTGAGTCATCAAGCTGGCCATCTTTGGACAGTACTTCAGATACTTCTACAATAGCACACACCTGCATTTAAAAAAGGTCAGTAAAGAAGTCATCACATTTTATTTCATTATTAGAAAGTAAACTATGCTGCTTTGCATAAAGGTCTCTCACACTAACCAACAAAATAGTTTAGTGAATACAAACTAATTCTGAATAGCAATGAAACCTCTGTTAATTTATTGTAATCATTTGAAAATCTAAATGCTTACCCAGTTCTTAAACAGACAAGCACCAATGCAGGAACAGCAGGTTTTGAAGAAATTAGGTAAGACTCTCGCTCACCTCTCACTCAGTGTATATGCACACATAGATATATCCTAACTTTTTCATCTAGGCATGTAGAATATGCAGCATTATAAGAAATATCCAAAATGACAGGAAGCCATTTGATTTCCAGAATACACATTTCCTAAAGCAAAAGCAGACATCAGCTTCATACAGACAGCCCAGAGCTTAGTGGAGCATTGCTAATTTATTACTCAACATTTCCTTCACAGGAATATCAAAGCCTCTACTGACTCATTCTCAGCTGCTGTTCTGTCCTTCACAAAAGGAAGAGATTGATCATGCCACTAAGAAAGGACACCAGGATTCAAGACAAGATCTGAAAAAGCCTAACATCATTGTGCCTCTTTATGACATGAAAGATCCCTTAGTGCTTCTAGTTCTTGCCCACAGCTGCCACTATCAGAACAGCTAGACTCCAGCCGTTTGGGATCCAAAACAAGGTGAAGCTCAGTCTATGAAGGGTTCCAGTACAGTAGAGATGATCAAAACACACAGACAGCCTAAAACAAAAGCAGCACTGAGTTCAGCAAAGCATAGCAACCAATACTATATTCATTGAAAACAACAAATGAGGAGATATCAACCTTTTAGGCTATTATATAAGACAAGAACAGGCAAATATTTTGGTTGGTGAACCACTGGTTGGCCATCAGTGAGTTTTAGCAAGCTGCCGAGGGCTCCACACACAAAGTATTTCAGAAGACATCATTTTAACAAGTTATAGATTTAAAAAAGATACTAAGAATCAAACATCTATCGTATTTCAATTTCATTTCAAAAAATATTTTTGTTCTGATTTATGACAGTGGTTTAGTAGTGTATACAGAGGCAATTGGATAATAGCTCAAAATAATCTTGCTCTTGTATACTGTGGGGGGGGAGGGTGTGTGGGTGTGTGTGGGGGTGGGGTACGTGCATGCATGCACCTAGGGGGCTGCACACACGCTAGATCCTGGAAGCCAGCTGGGGGGGGAGCATGGGGTGTGTGCAGCAGAACTTGCCCAGGAGGGAAAGATGCGTTCTGCCTGCTCTCGGGTGGGCTGCTCCGCTCTGCATGGGGCCAAGACCCACCTGCTCGCTCCAGGGCAGTCCGCACTGTGCTCCCTCCAATGGCAATGCCCTGCCCAAGATGCACAGCTTCTCAGCAGGGCTACTCTCATTATTGCTGCAGCTGCCTGGGTACTGCCTGGCTCTGCCCACACCTCCAGTAGCTCTTCCCTCCTCCTGTTCCTGACCCTGCTGTACTACTCCAGGCAGGAAGGAAGCAGCAGCAGCAGCTGGGCAGCTCCTGCCTCAGCACATTGGCTCCAGCTCTCAGCTACCTTCCACCTACTCGGCTGCCCGCCATAGGTGGAGGGAGAAAGTATTATGGGGGGTGGGGGGTGAGGGGGGGGCAGCTGAGCACTCACTTCCACACACATGCACCCACCAACACCCCCACCCCCTCAGCAGGTAAGTCTGCCATGGGGAAGGGGCCCCGGGGGGGGCGGGGGGAGGAGCAGACTGAAGCCACCTCAGTGAAGGAGGGAGTGGGGCAGAGGTGGAGGCCATGATGAATCCCCATTCAGGGGATCCAGAACCAGAGCAGCTCATGGGAGGGTCAGAGCCTGGGCACCTACTCCAGGGCTGCAGAGGGGCTCCTGCCACTGTACATACCCCGGCAGAGGCCCAAGGGAAACGTGCTCCCCAGATCTGCTCATGGGGCAGAGTTGGGCTGCTGCTGCGCCCTGCTGCTGGTGCCCTGGGAGCTATGCAACATCATACACCTGCTGCCACTGGGCAGGCAGGGGACATGGCACAGTCAGCACACAGCAGCATATGACGTCACACCGCTCCCGGGCAGAAGCAGCGAGACACAGATCTCAGACTAAGGTGGGCAGCCTGCCTCCACCCTGTGCACAGATCCAGGAAGCACATGCTCCACAGGCCTCTGCTGGGTTGTGCACAGTGGCAGGTCCCCCACCGTGCCCCTAGACAAACCACCCAGGTCCGACCATCCTACAACCCACCCCAGCCCCAGGGCCCCATTCACACTATCCACTGTCCCACTCCCTCCCTCACTGCTGGGGCCTCAATCCCCTACCCGCTAAGCCCTGTTAGCCCTGGCCTTCCACCACCTATGCTGCCTGCAGACAGCTGCTCATCACACTGGGCAGGCAGAGCGGGTGGAAGGGAGCCTCACGTGTTGGGGTAGGAGCTGCCCTACTGCAATTTCTCCCCCACCTGGGGCAGTGCAGCAGGTACAGAAGAAGCAGGAGCTGCTAGAGGTGGGGGGAGCCAAACAGTACCCAGGCAGCACAGCTGCAGCAGCAGTGGGAACAGCCCCATCGGGAAGCTGTGTGTGCTGGCCAGGGCCATGCCATCGGTGGGTGTGAGGTGAGTGCAGGTGAGAGCGTAGTGTAGCTGCTCCAGACAGGACTCAGCCCCATTCAGAGTGCGTGGGAGCAGCTGCCGGCCAGATCCAGCCCGTGGGCTATATCTTGCTCATCCCTGACCTAACGGTAGCATGGTTTCCACAAAGTGAAAGATCTGGGTTCTAGGATCTGATTAGCCTGAAAAGAAACTATGCATTAAGAGTCAGACCGTAGTCAACAAAGACTACAACATGACAAAAAAAAAAAAAAGGACAACCATACACAAGTTGAAGTTCACATCCTGAGAACATTGTGTACACAGAATACAAAAATGTTTGTTAAACATCTCCCAGCAAAAAAAAAACTAAGCTAAGCTATTAGATCAAGTCAATCATTACCTTCCTTCAATGCTTTAAGCAAATCATTAGAGCTTCAACTGAGCAAGGTATTAAGGCTCGACAAAGTGGACTACTCAGGTACTTAAAGTTCAGTACAGGTTTAAGTACCTGGGTAAAACAATGAAGAAGAGGTTTTGTTAAAGTAATATTTATTCAGCAACTGCAAAGAGATGCAAGTCCCAAACTTTCAACAGCTTCAATGAATATACAACTGTAAAGAATAATTTTACAAGTCTACCAAAACTACTTAGACTTATTATAATGCCCAAAGGTTAGTCCCTCCACTGTCACCTTTTATGTTTTTATTCTGACACGTTCTCTTGCATACATTCAGCAAGAGGAGAATATATATACTAACTTTTTGGTGCAGAAATAAGAACAGTCAGAAAACATCACAAAATTCAAAAGCTTCCTGACTATAATTTATACTATATATTTGCAGAGAATATTTCATCAGAAAATTCTTAATAAGCATCAGGAAAATCAGTATTCAGTATGGCTTCAACCTGCAAGCAAGATTCTTCCCTTAACATCTCTTAGTGCCACATTTCAAAAGTACAAAGGCAGCCCTGCTGCACTAAAAGATAAGTATACTGCTTCAGAAATCATTATTTGAACTTGGCTATTGAATCAGCTGAGGTTTTGCTTTAATGTAGATTTTTATTCCTCAGATGCAAAATAACTCTTTGAAATACAGCAGAATAAATGTTGCAGTCCTAAGGGATACAGTTGCTTAAAATCAATGTTTTGTCAGATACACTATGAAGTTTTACTTCTTCAAATGTTAACACCTTGAAGAAAACTATTTCTTAACAGTACAGTAACATCACTATATCAGACTCCTACTTGTCACTGACTTCCTTGATATTAAAAATATTTTCTTTTAGAAGTAACAAAGGACCAAATCCTGATTGTACAATAAGCCTGACTTTCTCTTTCTTCAGCTATTTTTTCTTCTAAGTACTTTGGGGGCATAGTTGGACTTTCAGGTGTTTATGCAGTACCTGGTGCAGTGGAGCACTGAATTTAACTGGGGTCTCTGGGAAGTACCTACTGAAGTACCTGGTGGTGACTACAATCCAAAAGGCAACCTTGTCATCATTTACAGATTTAAACATGGGACAAAAATTTCTATTTCTCCAAGTAAAAGCCCAACTGGTAAAAAATTTCACACTGACTTAGTTTTTATGTCATTTGAACTTTCTGCGTAATTTCCTGATCTGTCTTCATAATTTTTTTTTAAACAGAGGTCTGAAATGGGGCTCCAACTGAGATGTGTCCACAGCAACCTTTGCTTTCTTCATCTGTGACTAACATTTATTAAAATTTATAATCTAACACAGATTATTAGATAGGTGGATCCTGAATAATCCGACAGACAAGGTTCCTTGGGTGAATTTGATATCTTTTATTAGACCAACCCAAATGGCTGGAGAATAGTTATTAAGCAAGCTTTCGAGTTCAAAAACCCTTCGTCAGGCTAAGGACGTTTCAGCAGTTGGTGTGTGCTCTTCCTGGATGGAATGAAAAGTAAAGAAGCCAGGGGCTGGGCTGGGGAGTCAGAATAATCCAACATTTTTTTTAATTTAGGTTGCGCATCACTGTTAGCTACTATACTACATCATAAAGTTTATGCACTGAGAATACAGCCTGGCAGCAGCCATGTGCACACCAAACTTCCAGAGAGCTATGCTGGTCTCCTATGATAGAGAAGGCACGCCCAAATTCATGCCCTGCAACTGAAATCTGAGGGCATGTATGCCTGGCAGCTGTACTTCTACCTCAAGCCAGGTTCTTTGTCCTTTGCCCAGTGGCCCTTACCCTCTACCTAAGCATTAAAAATCTAGGAAATAATTCAAACAAAAACCCAAACACTTGGTTACGAAACAGTGATATTACATCACTGACAAAACAGGAAAATTTAGGAAAAGTACCCAAGCAACACATACTCCAATTTACCTATTAAGTTATTTTGTCCTTT